AAACTTCAAATCTAAAAATAACCAATAAACTCAAATTAAATAAATTATTCCCCGACAACGATGCCAAAAACTTGTTCGAGTGAAACTCGTAAGCGTACAGGATCGTTGATAAGTAATACGTGATGAGTAGTATTGTCCTAAGGGAATAAAATTCAATCAATGTGCACTAGTTTCAAAGTGTGAAAATGAAATAAATGTGATTTAATCTACGAAAACTTGTAAATTTTGGTTTTGTATGTATTTGGAACGAGTGTACTGGATTATGAATCCACCTATTATTATGTATTTCAATTCTCAATTATGAAGCTAGTTTTATTTATACATTCTTGACAATTGATACATTTATTATAATTAATTCTCTTTCTCAAGATAAATTAAATCTATTATAGTCACAATCTGAATCTATTCCTTATCCGAATTCGAATGAATAGGCATTCAATTTCACAATTATATCAAATATTGCACACGATATAAACATTATTCCTAATACCTATTGCACGTATGTTAATCAAGCAGTGTTTTAGACCTATCGCGAGCCTTTTGACACTACGACAAGCAACTATATATTTAATTGGTGATCAAACAATCAAATAATGAAATAAAGCATGCAAGGTTAATCAAAAATTGTAAGAATTTTACTAAACTGCTTGTCTTGAATTAAAATTAAAAAGATTTCATCTCCATCCAATGCATGAAAATAATTAGCCTAGCATGTTATTATGTAAATTGTACAAAAAGATTTGGAATAATATAACCAGAATTGAAAACAAAGATTGGGAGTTCGTTAATCTTCAACTCGGACTTTGAATTTTCAATCTCCTATGTTAATTGTCCTCGAATTCAATGCTAGCCTCCTTCTTGTGGTGAAAAATATAGTACATTATGTGTTAGGTCATTCTGGTCATGCCTCATAAGTTAAATAGTTGAAAACAATTGCATTCCACAGAGAATTTTGATCAAATCAGGAGTCAACCCATAGAGTTCAGTGCGCGCACGTGGCTTCGGCTCTTTTCTCTCGGTAAATGGGGTGCAGGGTGTAGCGCGCGCGATAGAATTAGCCTACGCGAGCCCTTATACAAATTTTTTTTATTTGTTGCCCTTTGGTCCCCTAGAGTTCTTTCTTTTCCTTTTAGTTCCTTTTGATATCTTCTTGATCCTCAACTTCTAATTCCATCTAATTGTCTCCAACCTTTCTACAATCATTGATATTAGGTCCAAATCAACTATTTGAACTTTGCAATTTGGTTCCCAAACTTTGGATTAAGTCCATTTTAGCTCATTTTTCGCCCCTTTTGTCCAATTCCATCGAGTTGCGCCTAAAAAATGAAATATACAGAAAATTAAGCCTCAATTCATTAAAAATGACAATAATTGTTTTAGTTTAACGACTAAGACTTATCAATAAATAGAATAGATGAATATAAACTATTGTAAACATACACTGATTAATCAATAAAAAAATTTCATTCTCACCTCGAATTTTCATTTTTTTCTCCTTCAACAAAAGTAAATCAAAAGTAGGCAAAAACACAAATGATTTTTTAAGAAAAGTTAACCTCTTACAGTTTAAATTAGAAAATGCATACTTTTTCGAGCTTTCACCGGCACTACGAACACTAGACCGTAGCCAAATAAGATCCTTAGAATGATGTTGTTATGAAAACTGCAAAATATGATTTTCTTCCCTGTTGAACCTCGAGTGGTGATTGCAGGGAAAAAAAGGGTTTATCGACGAATTCTTTTGCACCCACATTGAAAGAACAAGATATATTCCCCAATCCATCAAAGAAGAAAACAATTGCATTGATAGAATTGTAGATAATTAATAACATTTAATTATTCGTGAAAGTTGAATATTTGTAAGTTTGACCACTTGACTCTGCTGGCAATTAATTTCTACCATTTTCAATATGCATATTTTAGTATAACTATAACAATACTGTTGAAGGGAAAATGGATTGACGGGTAAGACATATCCAATGGCTTAACAAAATTACCCTTCTCAAAAGGGAATAATAGAATGGAAAGGAAAGGAAAGGACCAAATCAACAAGAAAACGTTGAAATGGTAATACAATGTAAAAATGTGTTAGTGGCTTGGACGTGCATCGCACATGATTTGCATGTCCTCGCGGTTGAATTATATTTGTAATATTGGTTAATTAGATTTTTCAATTTTATTAACTCTGTTAGTTTATATTTATATAAAAAACATTAATGTACAAGATTTACATCACATCAATATTACGGAGAAAGACTAGTATGGAATACGGATAATTAGTACAAAACATGCGTGTCGTTTGCACTTATTGCGTAAATTATACCTATCGTTTCAAACTTGGCCATTACAACTTTATTCAACACTTTCTTGTGGAGTTTTTTTTTTTTAATGTCTCATTCTATTAATTACTTCAATCAAATAGACACGTGGATTGTACGCACATCAATTGAGAAGTTTTATTTTTTCAAGCCACTGCATACATTTTTCTCACCTGATCCATTTTCCCTTCAATTGTATTGTTATAGTATATATATTTTCAAGATTCACGAATAAAGAATCGTTCTTAATCTTTGTATAAATAAATAAACTAAACTTCAAGTTTCTACAAGCAGAAGTAATCTAAAGTCCCAGACCAAATGGTATTGAATTCATGATTTGAAATGAGGATCTACAGATCAGCTTATATATGTCAGAAAAAGAAGAAGAGTAATTAGCACAAAATGTCAATAACATTTGCACTCATTACACATATGGTATACTTGTTTTGAGGATCCGGAATATTGAATTCAGCAGGTTTTCAGTTGGGAGTACGTAGAACCATTTTGGAATTGCTTCTCGTTGGCCAAGTTGAAAGTATATTGGGGGCCTCCAAGTTCATGGTACCTGATGGACCTTCATGTCTATAAAATTGTTGATGGAAACCCATAGGACTTGACGTTCCAAGGGTAATTTTTTACTTATTCGTGTCAAAAGAAGAAACTTGAATAACACGTGAAGCACATTTCAAGGATTTAAATTTTTGTGGTCTTCCTGAGTTTTCATGCCCCAGACATTTAGCGGACATTTGATCCACAAAATCAGGTAGCCTTTGCATAAATATCTCAATGAAGTAGAGAAGAAATTATTAACGATTAATATGATTAGTCAAATCTTATGTCAAACCTTATACATATGTTTTATATTTTTATTAGTTTAGAGATCTCATTCGTGATTTCCATAGATATATAGAATCAATGAATCCAAACTATTGTAAATATGCACTGATTGGTCAATAAAAGAATTTCATTCTCACTTCAAATTTTCATTTGTTTCTACTTCAATAAAATTAAGTCAAAAGTAGGCAAAGACACAAATGATTTTATTAGAAAAGTTAAGCTCTTACAGTTTAAATCAGGACGTGCATATTTTTTTGAGCTTTCACTGGAGATACGAACACTAGTCTGTAACCAAATAAGATTCTTAGAATGATGTTGCTATGAAAACAGTAAACTATATTCTCTTCCCTGTTGAACCTCCGGTGGTGATTGCAGGGAGAAAAGGGTTCACCAACGAATTCTTTTGCACCCACATTGAAAAAACTGGATTTATTCCCCGATCCATCAGAGACAACAATTGCATTGCTGGAATTGTAAATAATTAATAACGTTTATATATTTATGAAACTTGAATATTTATAATTTTGACCACTTGGCTTAACAAAATTAACCTTCTCAAATGACGCGAGCGCAATCCACTTGTCTATTTGAAGGAAGGAATTAATAGAACAAGATATGAAGGACCAAATCAACAAGAAATATTGAAATGATAATATAATGTAAAAATGTGTTAGTGACTTGGACGTTGCACGTGATTTGCATGGCCACACGATTGAATTATATTTGTAATATTAGTTAATTAGATTTTTCATTTTTATTAACTATGTTAATTTAGGACTTGTTTGAGCCCCATTTTTGTCAAAAAAAAAAAAAAATCATTTTTGAATAGTGCATTGATAAGAAATGTGTGGTTAAAAAGTAAGGATAAGTTTTGGGCTTATATTAATATGTAAAACATTAATGTACAAGATTTACATAACATAAAAAATATGGAGAAAGACTAGTATAGAATATGGATAACTAGCGCAAAGCATTCCAATCGTTTGCCCTCATTGCGTAAATTATCCCTATCGTTTCAAACTTGGCATTTATTAATTTCAACATTTTCTTGCGGAGTTTGTTGTTTTACGTCTCATTCCATTAATTCCTTCAATCAAACAGGATTGTACTCACATCAATTGAGAAGTGTGATTTTTTCAAGCCGATGTATACATTTTTCTCGCCTGATCCATTTTTCCTTCTATATATATATACACACACAGAGAGTGACATAGAGAGAGAGAGAGAGAGAGAGAGAGATAGAGAGAGATTAAATGGCATCAAACCTAAATTCTCAAACTTATAAATATTCAAGATTCACGAATAAATAATCTTTCTTAATCTTTGTATAAAGAAATAAACTAAACACTCAAGTTTCTACATGCAGAAATAATCTAAACTCTAGAACCAAAAGGTTTTAAATTTATGATTTGAAATGAGGGCTTACATATCAGCTTATATATGTCAGGAAAAGAAGAAGGGTAATTAGCACAAAATGCACTCATTGCACATATGGTAAACTTGTTTTGAGGATCCGGAATACTGAATTCAGCAGGGTTTCGGTTGGGAGTGTGTAGAACCATTTTGGAATTGCTTCTCATTGGCAGAGTTGAAAGTATATTGGGGGCCTGGTGGACCTTCATGTCTATAAAATTGCTTCAAACGAGTCCATAATAAAAAACAAAAGAAAATTAATCTAAGTCAAGTAGAAATTAATACTTTAACGATATAAAAGTTTAGTAATATGGTCCAAATAAGCCCTTCTCAAATGATAAGAGTACAATCTACATGTTTATTAGAAGTATGGAATTAATAGAATGAGATAGAAAGGACCAAACCCACAAGAAAATGTTGAAATGACAATATAAAGTAAAAATGTGTTAGCGACTTCGACATGTGTTGCACGTGATTTACATGGCCTCCCAGTTGAATTATCTTTTTAATATTGGTTAATTAGATTGTTCATTGTTATTGACTCTGTTAGTTTAGATTTATATGTAAAACATTAATGAACAAGATATACATAACATCAAAAATAAGGAGAGAGACAAATATTGAATACGGGTAATTAGCACAAAACATTTGTTTTGTTTTCACTCATTGCGTAAATTATCCCTATCGTTTCAAACTTGTCATTTACAACTTTATTCCAACATTTTCTCCTGGAGTTGGTATTTTTATGTCTCATTCTATGAATTCCTTCTGTCAAATAGACACGTGGATTGCACTCACATCAATTGAGAAGGGTTTATTTTTTCAAGCCACTGTATATGTTTTTCTCACCTAATCCATTTTCTCTTCACGAATAAAGAATTGTTCTTAATCTTTGTATAAAGAAAGAAATTAAACTTCAAATTTCTACATGTAGAAATAATCTGAACTCCAGGACCAAACGGTATTAAATTCATGATTTGAAATGAGGATTTACTGACCAGCTTATATATGTCAGGAAAAAAAGAAAAGTAATTAACACAAAACATCCCTATCATTTGCACTCATTGCACATATGGTACCCTTGTTCTTGTTTTGAGGATCTGGAATATTGAATTCAGCAGGGTTTCCATCAGGGGAGGAGCCAGGAATTTTTGTCAAGGTGGGCACAATTTATCGATGGAAGTCCTTTATGATCTTCTGTAGGTATAATTTTAAGAACATTGGAACTTTCAGGCTTAGCATTACATGAACTTGCATGTAATGCCTACAAGAAATCCGCAGTACGCTTCGAATCTCTTGAGAAGTAATTGACTTCAATTTACAGTCTCATCCATAAAATCAAGAACTTCTCAGACACCTAAATTTGATAAAATAAAATAAAAATATATTCCTTTTATAAGCTTCACGGATGAGAATGTGTAAGGCATGCTATCTCACATGAACAAAGATAATAAAGATTGGCATTCAACGGTGACTTTGAAATTTCAATTTTCTTACAATATTCTATCTGCTATTCATTATGTGATTGTTTCTTTAAAGAGCTCATTGGGAACTAGTCTTCGACAAGATAAAACTGTTTGGTGACTAAGTTGTACAATCAAACTTCAATTGACATAAAACATCAATACATACAACATAACAAGAAGGGAAATAAGAAACTTATAACATACTTGATAACCAACTTGCGCTTGTGTTTAGTCGAAGCATTTGAATTGAGAAATGCTTCAATAACCCTGGCACCACCAGGGTCTTTTGATGCTTCAAGCACATGGTTGTCCTCCAATGATGTGATACTGTATATGTATTCCAGTATGAAATCCTACACAACAGAGAAGAATAGTATGAGTGTAATCAACCAAACTGCGTGGAGAAAAAGATATAATATGAGTAGACGATATGGAGCTTGGTCTAACAGCAAGTTAAACCAAGGTGATAACGTTTATGACACGCTCCTTGAATCGGCAAGTAGCAAAAACCAAAAGAATCTCTGCTTGTAAGAATTCAGTGGCATAACTACAGGTCAGTGTAGGACCAGTTCTTCAATTTAGTTATTTAGCAAACATGATATTAGCTTTCTTAAATTCTCTCTTAGGCAGTTGAATAAGTTTCATTGCAAGGCTAAACAAACAAGTTTTAACAGTCAAAAACATATTTTGCTCAGATGATTTAGCACATAACGAAGCAACATAATCTATTGCAATTTTCTCCTGTATTAGAAATGTTAAAACAAACGCCAGTAAAGTAGCATACATTTGGAAGTCTAAAAATTGATTGCAAAATCAATGAACCAAGAACATGCATCTTAACACCATTTGGCCAATTCCAGCTGTCCTTATCTTCAGAGTAGAAGTAACTATCAAGAAAGAGTATCCGTGATACAATGCATGCGGTAGACTCATTCTCCGAACGTACAGCAGCAGCAAGGGCCTGACAACACTGTCATCCACAATAGTCCAAGATTAGGGATGAAAAACGTAAAAGGGAAAAAAATTCATAATTTTAGAGCAAACAGGTGACACAAACCAATCCTTCCCC